ATTGGATGAGGTATCAAATACTACTATTACATCAAGGTCAAATTTCTTGAGTGTGATAATGTATCAGTGTTATATAGGAGAATGATCTTAGTAGATATATACTTAAGTATTTCGGGATAAAGTGCCATGATTAATGCAACTTAAAAAATGTAGATAGATAATATATGGAGAGAGAGAAAGAAAATGAGGTGAAATAGTAACAATTGGTAAACCTAAGTGAAGTGTAAATGAGCATTCTTTCCATTTTTCTGTGGGTTTAAAACTTTTTCAAAATAAAAACAGGGGCGCCTGGGTGGCTCAGTGGGTTAAGCGTCTGATGCTTGATTTTGGCTCAGGTCATGATCTCAGGGTCATGGGATAGAGCCCCGCATCAGGCTCTGTGCTCAGTGTTGAGCCTGCTTTTGAGATTCTCTCTCCCTCTTCCTCGGTGCCTCCAGCTCACGCTCTCTCTCTCTAAAATAAATAAATAAATATTTGAAAACATAAAAATATAAGCATTTGGGGGGAAATAGCCAAAACAACAGCAAAAAAATGTGTGAAATGCAGCTAAGCATGTGACTCTTGATCTCAGGGTCATGAGTTTGAACCCCACGTTGGGTATAGAGTTTATTTAAAAAAGAAAGAAAGAAAGAAAGAAAGAAAGACCCAGGCTCAGGGAGGTTGAATCTCGTGCCCTGTATCATGCAGCTGGTGAGTAGGAACTCCAGCCCAGGTGGTCCTGAGCCGGGGCCATCATGCCTGTGGACGTGTGTATGGAGTACAAGTCAGTGGGCATTGTGGATGCGTGAGGTGCATACACGCTTCTCTACCTGCAGGATCCTTCATCAAATAGGAACGCAGCACCTACTGTCTGCAAGGCAGACCTTGTCCTGGGGGCACAGTGGTGACCAGATGGTCAGAGTCCTTGCATTTGTGGTGGCTGAGACAGACAATCAACAAACCCATGCCTAATGCTGAGGGGTTGTGATTCCTGGCCATTTGAATATCCTCTTTCATGAAGTTTCTGTCAAAATCTTTTGCCCGCTTTCCTATCAGGTTTCACATCAAATGCATTTTCGGCATTATCAAGACAATCAAATAATTTTTCTGTCTTTTAAAATATGTTAAACCACCCTTGCATTCCAGCTGCATGATACAGGGCATGTGATTCAACCACCCTGAGCCTGGTTTGGGGGGCTTTTTTAATTTTTTATTTTTTTTAAGATTTTATTTATTTATTAAAGCGAGAGAGAGAGAGCACAAACAGGGGACACGTCAGGTAGAGGGAGAAGCAGGCTCCCCACTGAGCAGGGAGCCTGATGTGGGACTTGATCCCAGGACGCTGGGATCATGACCTGAGCCGAAGGCAGACGTTCAACCGACTGAGCCACCCAGGCATCCCTGTTTTGTTTTTTTTAAGTAAACTCTACAACACGGGGCTCAAACCCATGACCCCGAGATCAAGAGTCACATGCTCTACCGACTGAGCCAGCCCGGCGCCCCAAACCTGGGTCTTTTCAGCTGTGAGTGGGAGCAGTCCTGGCCAGCAGAGAGCTGCCATGCAGAACAGTTGTGCATTTCTAACACGTTTGTCCCCAAGGAGCTGAGAGTCTGCTATCACTATCACTGTCACACAGCCATCCAGGTATGCACACTCCCACGTGCGGGTGCACAGCGTCCAGGTGCACAGGCTGTTTCCACCGGCACAGCCCCGGAGGGGAGGAAATGCAGTAATTTCCTGGTGAGCTGGCCAGGAGTCTGGAGAGCCAACTGAGTCATGGGAGTTGGGATGGAAGGAAGGGGTGGGGTCACACACCCTAACCCCTATGAGCCTTCCCCATAGTAGGGTCCCCCACTCTGACTCTGGGCCCTAACTCTGTCTCCTCACATCCAGTCCAAGAGACTGTAACAGTTGGTGGTCAGACTGCTGCCATCAAGGGAGCACGTCCTACGGACCAGGTGAGCTTCAGGTGCCCCCCACCCCCATGAAGGAAGCACTGGCTGAGTCCCATTTCATAGGTGGGGAAATGAAGGCTCGAAGGTTGCAACCACTTGCCAGAGTCCCTGCTTTCCTCTGTACTGAGAGCGTGGCCCACAGACCGCTGGATGGGGCTGGAGCAGCTGATAAGACCCAGATCTCAGGGGCCCACCCCCATCCTCACCTCTGCAGTCCAGTACCAGCCCAGACTTCAGCGCTCTAGAAGGTGAGCGCTCTGGACCCCACCATCTTCTTCTTCTTCTTTTTTTTTTTAATTTTTGATTTTAAAAAAATTGTTTTAAAGATTTCACCCATTTATTTGTCAGAGAGAGAGAGAAATAGAGAGCAAGCACAAGCAGGGGAAGGGGCAGAGGGAGAGGGAGAAGCAGGCTTCCCACTGAGCAGGGAGCCCGATGCGGCGCTCCATCCAGGACCCTGGGATCATGACCTGAGCCGAAGGCAGACGCTTAACGACTGAGCCACCCAGGCGCCCCCCTTCCCCATCCTCTTCTACAACTCCTCCCTTTACAAGTAAAACGCTGGACTTTATAAGCCTGCTAGGGGCTGGGCAGGCACTGGGATACAGGAGAGGCGACGGAGGGCTCTGGGAGGACCCCACCCCTCCAGCCCCTCAGGACAGTTTCTACCCCTGCAGAGGCAGCACAGAAGGACAATCCCAGCTGGGCCTGCTCACTCTGTGACACCAGAGAGCTCCCTTTTGTGCAGGCCTCGTTTCCTTATAAATCAAGTGCAGCAGTGAATGCCACTGGATTCTGGGAAAAGCAATGAACCGTCCCACTGAGGTTCCTATGGGAGGGCAGGTATTTCTGAGTGCGCACAGCAGACACAGGTCACAAACCTAAAAGCCACCGCGACCCTGAAGCTCACAGTCTGCCTAGAAGACAAGCACTTACTCAGAGCCTCAGAACAGCCAGTTTGCACACAAGCCTAACATGCTGGGACATAGTGCTGGAAGATGACAGTCTAGCGGGGAAGGGACCTCACCATCACACGTGTCTATTTATCCATTACTCATGGGGCTGGGTCCTCATCATGCCAACCTTGAGAACCCTCCCCCAGGAATGCCTGGGTGGCTCAGTCGGTTAAGCGCCCGCCTTCGGCTCAGGTCATAATCCCGGGGTCCCAGGATCGAGTCCCGCATCAGGCCCCCTGCTCAGCGGGGAGTCTGCTTCTCCCTCTGCCCATCACCCTGCTTGTGTTCTCTCTGGCTCGCTCATTCTCTCTCTAAAAAAAAAAAATTTTTAAAAAAAAAAAAAAAAAACAAACCCTCCCCCCAGGAGCTCTGGCTGCGGCAGAAGGCCCAGCCCCAAAGGGGTAAACCTGGTGCTGGTCAGGTAGGAGGAAATTGGGTCTGGGAGGGCCTGCTGGAGAGAGGAGATGGTGGTGGGGAAGCTGGGGACAGCAGGGGGGAAGGAGAGTGGGCTTCAGACTGGCAGCTCCTTTCAGACCCCACAGCAGCATGGCCAAGAGCCCTCGAGGGGATGGACCTTGGCCAGCAGGCCCCCCAGCCCAGCCAGGGTCTCTTGTCCCATGTTCCACAGCAGCTGGGGCCAGCTCCAGGCTCCCTCCCACTCCGGGCTTCTTAAAACAAGAACAGGAAGTGGAGAGCGCTGTTCGACCAATACACAAAAAACAGGGGAGAAACCACATCCTCTGTCCTCACCAAGGAGAATTGCGGAGGGCATCATGGGCTCCGAGCAGAGACCCCCAGCCCAACCCTCACACCACAGCAGGATATGCCACAGAGGACCCCCGCCCCAGAGAAATGTGGCAGTGGCTTCCACTGCTGGGGGCCACGTCTCTGTCAGTGGTCCTGGGGCCTGAAGTCCCAGGCCCTGTTTGCATCTTTACAGCTACACGTTCCGGTGGGCTCGGCACCTCTGCATGCTCCCCAGAGCGTGGGGGAAGGGAGGCTCACTCCCCTGCCATCACCTGGAAGGCCCCTGGGGAGACCATGCCGCCTGAGCTGCCACCCTTATCCTAGAAGGAGCCCTGAGGGAGGGGAAAGAGGACCAGGCAGGAGAGACAGATGGACAGACAAAGGAAGGAAAGAAGTAGAAGGTGACTGACTGGAACAGAAAGATAACGCGTGCAGGAACAGGGAAGCCAGCACAAAGGTGACACGGGACACCACCTGGGCCGGGACTTGACCACGCTCCCCCTTGCTCTGGGACTGTCCCCTGGGTTTACAAAGCACTTCTGATCCTGACAATGATCCATGAGGCAGTTATTCCGGGAAACAGACCCAGCCAGCAGGGAGGGGGATGATTGCTCGAGCTTCTCGTCGGCCCGGGCTGGTGGCCAAGGGCCAGAAGGGGTGTCCTGCTATGTTCTGCCCCGGTGGGCAGCGGAAGGCTCCCATGGGCTGGGCTTCCTGGAAAAGGGTTGGAAAACACCAACTGGGGCCCCCCTCTAACACCCACCTTGTCCCGGCCCCAAACATCCAACAGTCACTGGCTGGGCCCCAGGCCCTGACATTAGAAGGGGAGGCGGTGGGGGACATGGTGCTGGCAAGGGCAGGTTTCCCAGGTCCCGGGCCAGGATGAGAGACTGGCCCTGGGCAGCACTGAGTGCACACGGACAGGCCAGGACTTGCCCATGCTTCTGGGGAAAAACCCCAGCCTTGGAGAATGGCTGTGGCTTCTCTGAAGGGCTAGCGCCAGTCATCAGGGTCAGCCTGGGCCAGACCAGTGATGCTGTGGCAGTGCCCTCTCCAGGCCTCCTGAGCCCTAGAGCTAGGAAGAGACTCACACACCACCTCCGTCAATATCCCCAACTCCCCTTCTGTCCTGGGCACACATCTGCCTCCTACTCTGTGCAAGGGTCCTGGGGCCACGTCCTTGCTGGAATCCAAACCCATGTGGCCCCCACTACGAGTACACGCGCGCGCGCGCGCACACACACACACACACACACACACACACACACACACCCCTTCTCCACACTCTCACCACAAGTCACAAAGTCTCCAGGAGGGGCCAGCCACTGAGAGCCATCCAGCTCCCACCCACCTCTTACTCACCGTCCAATGTCCGAGCAGACCTTGGAGTCAGCGGCGACCGCAGCATGGGCAAAGGCCTGGGGGCCGCAGCCAGTGTGGCGGCGAGAGAGGACCACGGCGGGCACGATAATGGCCAAGGCCAGCCCCAACCCCAGCAGCACCATGCTGACTGTGGTCCTGCGGCCTTGGGCCATGGCTCTGAGGCCCAGAGTGGAGAGAGAAGGCAGGTGGACAGACAGATGGATGGATGAACGCACAAGAAGATGTGCAGATGGATTCGCAGGTGATTGGACAGATGAACAAACAGATGGAGGCCAGAGACAGACAAACGGATTGACAGTCTAGACAGCTGGATATAGGACAGTAAGAGAAAGATGGTCGGAGAGCCAGCTGGACAGACACAGGATTGCAGACGGAGGGACAGACAGGCTTACAGACGAAGAGCGGTGCCCCGGCAGACAGGTGGGTATATGGACCGGCAGCCAGTGGCGGGGTTGCTGCCCTACCCAAGCGCCTGCTACAGAGGCAGGGCTGGCCGCACGCCTGAACTTCCAGTTTTCAGCCCCTGTTCTTGGCCCTGGCAGGAGGCCAGGGAGCAGGGCGTTTATGGGGAGTTTTCCTTCCAGAGAGGAGAAGCAACTGCTGTTAACTCCCTCATTCCCACAGCCTTGTCTTGTTGGTACAGACACCCCTCCTGCCCAGGGCTATCCCAACCCACGTGCTTGAGGACTTGGCACCTCCTCTCCCTGAGGGAGCCAGGGTACAGGCTGCCCAGGGCCCCCACGGCTGTTCTCCAGTTCCCAGCAAAGCCAGGACAGCAGGGCTCAGGCCTGCCCAGTCCCCTCCCCTGGATCAGTCTCAGAGGGACAAAGGGACCACAGTGACACCCTGGCTCCTGCCTTCTTGGTGCGGTTCCCCCTAGCAACAGCTTGCCTCAGCATTCCCAGAGCCAGAGGACACTGAGGATGTCTGGGGCCCAGCGCTGGGGCTGAAGGGGGCCAGAGACAGAGGGAGGGGGTACCCAAGGCAAGGTCACTCAGGACCCGGGTTCGAGTCGCAGCTCAGCCGCAGCCTAGCCAGGAAACAGGGGTGACCAGGACGGGGCTCAGCTTCCCAATCTGCATCAAACACCCAGGACTACAAGACATCTGTAGCCTGCATCTGGCCCTTGGCACCCACTGCCCACCAGACCATCCACCCCTGGGGCCTGCTGTCTAAATGCCACCACGGGCCTCCTGAGATTGAGGCTGCCCTCCCATCCCAGGGAAGCATCTCGGCGCTTCCCTGGCTGTGTGCTTCCCTGTGTCCATCTGTGCTGGCTGTGAGCCTCTCCTGGGGACACTAGCCTAGATCCTCCCCTGCCCAGGCCTCAGGGTACCCAACAGGGAGGCAGCTGTGGGAGGGGGACCCTTGAGGCTCCTCTTGACCAGGCTTAGCAGGAGCACAAGGTGCAGGGTCCACAGGCAGGACTCCCACCCACACGCCCCCCCCCACCCCCCATTCTCTGGCTTCCTCCCCAGCTGAGCATTGCCCGCCCCAGGCCTCTCGACACCTCCTGGTACAGCAGAGGAACTGCCCACACAGCCACACAGCCTGCCAGCCCCATCCCGAGCCCTTGGTCAGCCTGGGCAGGCTCTCCAGTGGGCCTGTTCCCACAGCGGCTCTGTGGGGTATGGATGACTGTGGGCGCCTTCTTCTGCCCCCACTGTCCCCCATGCCAGTGACATTGCTCAGCCCGGAAACAAAATGCATTGCTGGGCCAGGGCCAGCCCCCCTGCTGGGAAGGCAGGGGCAGCAGAGACAGCAGGTCTGAGGCGCTGAGGGCGGGACATTCCCCCATCTCCCCAGCCATCCTGGTCAGGCTGAGGTCAGGTGCAGGGACCAGAGGAGCAAAGTCCCAGGAAAGGAAAGAATCATGCTAGGCCTGGCTGGAGGTATGGCTGGACAGGCTGAGCTGGGAAAGGCCCTGAGTATCCTTGTGCAGGAGGTGAGGTGTGCAGGAGTCAATGGGAAGGAAAGAGAGGAAACCAAGTCCTCCAGCACCTGACGGAGACCTCAGCTGAGCCCCATGGGGCCTGGGGAACTGGGTGCACCCAGCCCATGTGCAGGAACCCAAGGAGCTTAACCTCCACCCAGAACAAGACTAGCCCTCGGGCCTCAGTCTTCTCTCCTGCAAACGGGGCCGTGGCCTTTCCTCTGGGGCCAAAATGAAGGCTGAGGAGACTTGCACACCCCACCAGCTCAGCCTCCAACCTGTCCTCAGAGGACCCCAGAGGTACCGTCCTCCCAGGCTCAGGGCCCAGACTCTGCAGACACAAAACCCCGTTTCCTTGTGGGCACTTTCGAAACACCAAGTTTGCCTGCCTCCTGAAGGAGAGCCCAGACTTGGGGTGGCCCCTGTGCCCGTGCCCTCAGGGGTCCGCACTTATGCTGCCTGGTCAGGGGGATGCCTGGCCATCAGGCCGTGGCCCATCCTCCCCTGCCCACCCCAGCCAGTCTCTCATATCTCCTCAGTCAGACATTCCATCAAGTTAGCAGACCCTGAGGGAGGGCGGGAGGGGCTGGTGCATTGGGGAGGAGGGAGGCCGCAGGGTCTCCCTGCTCCCCTCCAGGCCCCTCTTTCTGGGCTGCATTCTCCAGCCGCCCACAGGTCCAAGCCCTGACCCTTGGGATCTGGGGACCTCTCCCAGTTCACTGTTCCCTGAGAACTGGGCCTCTTTCTGGAGCTGATCACAGCTTGGTTTTCATTCTGGGTTTGTGCTTGGAAACCCCCCCCCCCCCCCGCCCCAGGCCTGGCCCTGACCAAGATGTTTTGCTCCAGCCTCTTGCCCAATCCCACTCTTCAGACCTCAGGTTCACCTCCATGTGTCCTCCACAGTGTGAGCAGGGGACACCCGCCAGGCTGACGAGGTAGCTGGGGTACAAGCATCTGCGGGTGGCGGGCTGCCCCAAAACTCCAGAGCCGCACCGCCCCCTGGTGGTCGATCCTAGCAAGTGCCACTACCCCGGCCAGAAAAGGGATGACTGGGCCCCCTGGTCCTGGGGCTCAGGGTGAGGAAGGACAGCACTCGGTATGAGCGGGCCCTGTCCCCACTCACCCACCCGCCGGGCTCTCGAGAACATTCTCAGGCTAGCTCCAGCACCTGAGGGGTAAAGCCCTCTGAATCCATCCTCTCCTCCCTTCCCCACTGGACAACTCCATTTCACACATAGGATACTGAGGCCCAGGGATATGGGAGCCGGGCCGGCAAGGCTGCCCAGAGCCTCACGCTGTGACCCCCATTTATTGCACTGCTTTGTCACTCACAGGGGAAGCAAATCCCTCAAGGTCCCACTCTGGCCCCGCAGGCATCTCATCCCTAGGTTGCCAGTAAGCCTTGCCCGCCCTGAGCGCTCAGTAGCCAGCAGGCTCCCCGCCTTTCCTGGAGTCTGAGGCAGCTGCCCAGCCACCGGCCGTATGGACAATGGCCTGCACCACAGCGAGGAAGGTGGACGTGACCTCGGTGTCGTGGTGCCGGGTCTTCAGAGCTGCGGTCACCGCCTGGGGGTGGGAGGGGATAGAGAGGCCTCAGCAGGGCCCACTGTGCCACTGGAACCGCATAGACCCACACTGAACCGCACAGGTGGTGCCATTTCCAGCCCAGTGGCCAGGAACAACAAGTTGGGGGCAACTGGGCCTACTGGGTCTCCCTGGAGCAGGTGGTCTGACCCCCATCGCACAGAGGTTCAAGATGGCCTGGGCAGTAGATGTGAAGGTCATCTGCCCCAGGCAGAGGCTGTAGTCTATGATGACTCAGGAGATCCAGGCCTCCATCCTAGGGGCACCCTGTGACCCTCCCCTTGTGACTCAGTTTCCTTGGCCCTGCCCCACCTGGTCAAAACCTCTCTCCAGCGTCGTGGTGTTGGGCAGAAGCTGGTTGTGCAGCCGGGGCTCCTCTACTGCCCGTTTCACATCGTAGCCAAACCACAGGTTATGGATGATGGCCTGGGGGTGGAGGGGAAGGGGGTCAGTGTGGCCCAGGGGCAGGGGCTGACGGGGATAGGTAGGTGGCACATACCAGCGCGGTGGCCGTGGTGATATGTGTGCCCCCAGAGGCACCCACCACCATGCGGACCTGGCCATCCTGGCCCACGATGATTGCCGGACACATGGACGAGAGCGGCTGCTTCCCTGTGGTCAACAGATGGGCGGGCAGGGACAGAGATGCCAGTCAGCTGCCTGCCCAGGGCACCAGCCCTCTCCCCACCTGAGCCCCCCACCCCACACCTGGTTTGATGAAGTTGGCTGGTGAGGGGGGCACCCCAAACTGGTTGGTGATGTTGGGGGAGCTGAAGTCATCCATCTCATCATTGAATAGGATCCCGCTGACCCGTGATCGTACCTTGGAACCAAAGCTGCAGACCAGCGGGATCAGACAGCTATGCCAGACCCAGCCCCCACCCACCACCCACCAAAGCTCCAGCTTGACCCCAGTGAGGCTGGGGGCAGGTGCTCTACCAAGGTCCAGCGCCTCGGTTCCCCCCCCCCACACCACAAAAGGGGTTGATGGAGCTCCCATCTGGGAGATGCAAGCAGCCCTCGGCCCACCCAGGGCCACCTGGCAGCCCCTACTAGAGGTTGATGGTGCTGGTGGCCGACACAGCGCTGCCGTCCTCTGCGACCACGGAGAGGTGAGCAGTGCCACCGTCATCAGGCGTGTAGAACTCAGGCTCATAGTAGGAGGTCGGGTGAGTGGTGTTGTCAGAGATCCGCGCCCGGAGCTGAGCGGCAAAGAACTCGGAGCTCATGTTGCGGACCACCTGCCGAGACCCCAGAGCTGGCCTGAGGAGGTGGGGGGGGGAGGAGGGGGAGGGGGCACAGGCTTGTGCGAGCAGCTCTTGGGAAGCCCCCCGACATGGCCCTGACCACAACCCTCCTGCACCCCCAGCCTCACGTGGTCCGTCTGATCCCCTTTCCAGCCTTTGCCTCTGCTACCGTCCAGCAACTCTTAGTATTTATCTGTCCACCCACAAGCCCCCACTCTTGCCGCATTCAATCATTCATTCGTTCATGGAGCTTGTGTTGCATGCTTGGATGAACAGGGAACAGACACACAGGTCCCTGCCCTCCTGGCAGGGAAGACAAAGGCAGGCAGAGACATGCTGGAAAGAACAAGCGAGGTAAAGGGGATGGAGAGGGATGAGGTAGGGGCGAGGTGGTCAGGGAGGGCTTCTCAGAGGAGGTGACAGCTGAAAAGAGGCCCGAGTGAGGCCAGGTGGTAAATGCAAATGCCCTGAGGCAGGCCCGTGAGTGACAGGCAGAGGGTGAATAGGGTCAAAGAGAGAGGTGGTGGAGGATGTTAGCAGGGGGTTATTCTGTAAGTCTTCAGAGGCCCTATAAGGAGTCTGGCTTTTGCTTTGAGCCACCTGGGCCTGGGACAGAGGAAGGGGCACACTGGTAGTTCACAGGATCTCTATGGCAGCTGTGTGGGGGTGTAGCGTAGAACCCAACTGGGAGGCTATGGCATCAACCAAGTGACAGATGGTGGCTGACCCAGATGGAAGAGAAACAATGGCCCCAAAGTCTTCCGTCCAGAGCGGCCATTGAACTGGGGAGGCAAACACTGCGGAAGGGGCAGTGAGGGGGACAGTAAGGAGCCTTGATTCTGAACAGGTGCCCTTTCCTGTTTCAGGTGGGTGGTGGGTCTGTGTGTGTGTGTGTGGAGTTGACAGGCAAGACCCGGCTGAGGGATAAACATGGAGCCACCAGCTTCCGGTGGCTGCTTAAAGCTGTGAGCCTGAACAGGGTCCCCACGGCGGTGAGGACAAAGAGGAGAGATGACACAGGAGCCAGCAAGGAAGGCCCTGGGGACTGAGCAAAGGAAATGCCTCCAGAATTTTCCAGCAACAACCCCCCAGGGAAAATGTTCAGCCTGAATCGACTCCCAAGAAAACAGAAAGTCAAATCCAGGATGTGGGATGGTTCTGCAATATGACTGCCCTGGGCTTTAAAAATCAGCAAAACAGCCAAGAGGTCTATTGTAGCTTCAGAGACTGGAAGGACAGAACAAGGGATGAGTCGGATGGGCTCTGGACCGAAACAACCCCGGGACCCTTGGGAACACAGGTGTCTAACAGGCCAGGTCCTCTTGATGGCAGTATGTAGGAGTCCTGTCTTAGGAGCTACGACCCAAAGTATGATATCGGGGACTAACCATCTGATACCCGAAAAAACACATGCATATCGATAAAGGGGTGGATGGATGCAGGGAGAGAGGGAGGGAATGTGGCAAAATGTCCACCACTTTGCAAAATGAAAAGCTGGGGAAAGGAGGTGGCAAACTGAACTGCGTGAGACGCTGCCGAGGGGGGCCGGAGGGGGAAACTGAGGCTGGACTCCAGGGGTGGAGTGAGGGGTCCTGGCAGGGGGAATGTGGAGCGAGGAGGGCAGAGCCTGATGGGAGAGGGCATGAGAAAGGGATGGAGC